AAATTGTTTTCAACCCCAAAAGGTAAAGAAGTTAGTTTTAATAATATTTAAAGCTTAATTTTTTTTGGTGGAACACCGATTCTGAAAGAATTGAAATTGAAAGAAATAGAGGGTAAAATAAATTTTGGAAAAAATCACATAACTTCCTTACATCAAAAGTAGTGTATTGGGATATTAGGATGAATTTTTGGAGACACTGGTTTAGACGAGATACAAGAAAAATTCATCTGACTAAGCACTAAAACTCAGGGAAATGACAGGATACTTGGGGAAGTGGATTTTTCTCCAAATTTTTGTGGCCACTTTCACACCAATTTGGCCATGGAATATGGAAAAGAATTAAAGAAAATGAAATAGAAATAAAGCTTCTAGAAGGTGATTAATCAAGAGAATTAAGGAGGTCAACTGAGGATTAAGCTAATTAATCTTAGATGACATAGCCTCATACAATAAGCACCATGACATCACCTCTTACATGAAAAGATCACAAGCCTCCTAGCTTAAGATTTGTCCATGTGTTATGGAGAGAAAAATAGAGGGTTGAGATTTAGCCACATAACCCTTGTAATTTCATGACATATCAAGAGTTAAGAGTTAATGGGAGAACTATAAATACCCCTCCCTCCCCTTTATAATGTGGCCAACATATAGACTTTGGAAAGGGATTGTTGCTCTTGGGTTCTAGAGAGAGAAAGAAAGAAAGAGGAAAGAGAAAAAGCAAGAGGTGATTATCTAAGCCTAAATACCTAATCAAGATATGTTTAAGCTTTCATTAAGAGTTTAGTTACATTGATTAGAATTAATTACCTTGATTAATGGATGATTCGGATTTAATCTTGATGACATTAAATGACTTAAACTTGGAGGATTATGTTGCCTTAATCATTATATGGTTTGATAAGCATGATTAGATATTGGATTAAAGATTAGGGGTTAAAGATTGATTGGGAATACATGATTATGCATGAATTAAGGAAGAACTCCAAGACTCTAAGCTCATGTATACTATTCGGCAAGGAAGAAAAATAGGCTTCGCTTTGATTCAAGTTAATTTGATGCTTACAATGAGTTTAGAAGGTGAAATTATATAAGATTAAGTTAAGAGCATTTCTTTGGAAGCATTAAAAATTGAAAATTGAATTTTGAACTTAAACCCTACCCTATTCGACCAACATGGAAAACATGGGAAGGAAATGAGTTTTGATAAATCTAAGTTGAAATATAGAATTTATATGGAAAATTATGTAAGAAAAGACCAAGGGATTCAATAAATCAAAGTTAGAAACAATAGCCCAAAAAAAAAAAAGAGTTGAGGGTATGTTGATAATTTAAGTTGGATAATTAGTAATGTATGATGCCCTATTGTTTTATCAATAGGCTTTACATGAAAGGAGGAGGAGAATTGGCAAGGAAGGAACTTGGAGACAAGAAGTTAAACTCATCAAGAGATAGCGAGTGTTTACAATTTCTATGTTAACTTGCATTGTATATAAAGTTGGGAATACAAGCCAACCCACCACAACCTGTGGGTTATACGGTGCGGGTTGGAGTGGACCGCATTTTGGCAGGCTGAAAAAATGCCATCCCTAACCCGTCATAGCAGGTTGGCAAACCATCTTTTTTTTTTTTTTAATTCTCAATTTTAAAATATTATTTTTTATTTAATTTTTCAAATTAATAAATAGTGATCTAAAATTTCAAAAGCAATATAAATTATGTTTAATCACATTTCAATAGTTAATACAAATATAAAACAATACATTACAAACATTTTATGTGATTAACATTCAACATCAATTCATCAAGTGATAAATTGATAAATTTTACAACCTTTTCATATAAGTACAATATTTGATATAAAAAACTATCTCTTGATAAATTAGAAGTGCATCTATCTAATTTTTCTTAAAGTTCATTGGCCATGTTTTTCTAAAACACTTTTTTGTAATAAATATTGTCTTATATTTTATTGTAGTTGTTAAAGTTTTGTTACACATATGGTATGCTCATATATATTTTTAATATTTTTGGTTTAGCTATGCAACATGAAAATTGAAATGTAAATGGGAGAAGAAAAATTTTCAAATATAATAACATATTATTTATTTGAAATTCTTTTTTAAAAAAAAAGTGGTCAGTTAGGCTCGCCAACTCGCGTGCTTGCTTGCCATAACCTGCAAGTTATGCGGTGTGAGCTAGAGCAACTTGCACCTTGGCAGGCTGGGAAAATGCCAACCCTAGCCCACTTCTTTATGATGGGTTAGCATGTTGGCCCATGGGCCCCAATTCATATTCTCGGCTCTAATTTTATATTGGCTATGTGTGTGCTATGTTTTGCTATGCCATGATGTGGTTAAGATAATCATGTAATAATATGTTTAACTCCATGTATGAAATGCCTTGGCTATGTGCAATCTTGAGTTTGGTAGGTGAAAAGGCATGTTGATAACTTTCCATGGCATGTGCATCTAGAAGGGGCATGAAATAGCTTGTCACATATAGCATGTTATACTTTTCTTATTGACATGTTAATTATGATGCTTTACTACTAAGATTTTTATAAAATCTTACCCTCCCAATATTCAAACAAACCATTTAGGGCCTACCACTTCAAGGGAGAAAGGAAAGGAGGCAGCTATGACATGAAGAATTGCCATATTTTGTGTTATTATATGGCCTTGAACCTTTCTCTTGAATATGTGAAGTTAAGCAAATTGACTTGTATGAATGACCATATTGGATATTTTGTTGTACATGTATATCAAAACATGCTATGATGCCTAATTGCATGAGTAAATAGGTGGTATGAAGAGCTGTGAACTTAATATGTAAAGTTAGAGTAATTAGGGGATAAAAATAATGCTACAATGCTCAATTTTGTACTGCATGGAATTCTAGTCAAATGGTTGAGTTTGTTCATGGGTTTTGGCATGCAATTAGAGCTCATTTTTTGATTTAAAAGGAGTGGTATTTTGTCTAATTTGAATATCTAAATAAAAAGTTATGCCTATCTAAAGTTAGGAAAAAAATATTAAAAAAAATTAAAAAGACCAAATAAACAGCAATTATTTGGCTTGAAACTGGGCAGTGATTATTTTTTCTCAAAAGAGAATCAAGAGAGCTTCAAATAGGATTTGAAATAAAAATGATTTATTTAATCTGAAAAAAAAAAATACTTGTTACAGTTTATTTTGATTTGTCTAGAATTAGTTATAATTTTTTCAAAATTTGATCTATTTTAGGGTTACAAGTGAATAGTAACATGAGAAGAAGAAATTTACAACTTGGATTTTCTCAAGCTAATGACTTAATAAGTGGTTTTAATTGCTTCTATTTGATGTATAAAAAAGTCTTAAAGTAAGATATGACAATTATGTAAGAGAGACATTTTGAAAATAAATTTAGAAGAGATGAGAGACAGACTTAGGGATCACATTAATTATATGAGTAAAATATTCTAACCACCTCTTAGATTTGTCTTAATTACACAGACATTCTCTCTACTTTGAAAACTCATATAAACCTCCCTTAAAATTAAATTATATGTTACCCAAATCTCCTATATATATATATATAAGATTGAGATTCTATTTTCATCCATCTAATAATTAACTGAGTATTAAATTTGAATTTTAAACTTTTTCTTGACAAACATATCCCTTTTTCATATAAGAATTATTTGAACATTTATATTTGTAAAAAAAAAATTGGGTTGATGCTTTAGTTTTATAAACTGTTGATCTGCAACCTAGTGTTATTGCGGCATTTGAATGCAAAAGCAAGCCTCTTGCCTCTTTGTCGTCACTATTTTTCATTGCTGCACCTGCACTTCTCGTAACTGCTGCGCCATCGTTTTATTTACTCATATTTGCAAACCATCAAAATAAATTAGGGATTTGAGACAATAAAGGATATAACTTGGTAAATAAAATTTATTTTAAATTTTTTAGAATATTCTTAATATAGTTAATTGTTTCAACTAAAGTTTGTGTTTTTAAAATTGAGAGGAGTTCTCAAAATTTAGAATATTTTACTTTTTTTTTCTTTTTGTCGAGTCCAAGTTATTTGCCTCCAGTAGCAGTGAACCAGTAACTAATTCCTTTGCATTCTAGACTTCCTAAAGGAGCTTTAGCATTGACCACAAGACCCTCTCTATACACACTGTTAGGGATCAAACCCCTAACTTGATGCTTAAAAAACTTAGCTAACTGCCAACTATGCTAGGCCTCATAGTTTAGAATATTTTACTCTAATTATATTACTCCCTCCGATGCTATATGTAAGTTTTACTTTTGGAGAAGGGTCTAATTTAAAATATAATGAGTTTATCTGAGTATTTATTACTTTTTTCTTATTTTGCTCTTAGTTGACTGTATTTAGTACTCCATCTCTCTCATTAATACTCCCTCCGTTCTTTATTATAAGAGACGAATAACCGAATTACGTTGATAAAAAAACAGTTAAAATTAGTTAAGAACAATCAATGTGTGAAAAGTATAATTTTTTTCCAAGAATGCTCTCATTAATAAGGAGAGAGAGCATGAGAGAGAACAATTAAATTATTAAAAGAGAGGGAAGTGGAAGGAAGAGAGAGTGTGAGTTGGAGACAACAAATATGAGTAAAATGGAAAATCAACGTAAAAAATTAGAGATAACTTTTAAGTGTCTCTTATATATAGGAACATGCCATAAGCATCAAATGTCTCTATAATAAGGAACGGAGGGAGTATTACTTTATATATTTTGTTTTATTTTTTTTATTATTGCCTCTCTAATTTACTCTCCTAATAAATAAGGACAGATTTTAAAAAAAATACATTTTTGACCAATTTATTATTTTTAACTAATTTTAATTGCTAATTCGTTAAATATGATTCAGTTATTTGAAGATTATCTATAGGACCGGAGGGAGTATTACACAGGTTGGCAAAAAGAAATTATATTACACAGCAATAGTCTAGTTCCCAATAGATAAATATAGATCGAACACATTTTTCCAATTAAAAAAAACTAATTATATTATATGAAAAAGCAAAAGTACAAATACAACAATACACTTGCCAAATACGAATTTAAAGAAAAGTTTACAGGTCAAAACATAAAAGCTCTAGATTACTAGATACAAGACAGTTACTCATATTGGCAGCCAAATTAAACCGAGTTGAGAGATAAAAGGATATATTATAGCTAATTTCCAGCTGCATGATGAAATAACTTGAGCTCAGAAAATTATTGCACATATATATGTGTGTGTGTGTGTAGCACAATCTCAAGATAAACCGTGGCTCAATGAACAGCTTGAATCTTCTCAATTCAAGATTAATAGATCAGAGAACGTAACTTGTGAACAAATTCATCGAGATAAGCATCTTCAAGTCCAGTTGCAAGCAACAACTGTCTCCATTTATTGTGATTACTTCTGATCTTTTGACCTATTTCACCGTCACCATCCATAACCACTTTCACAGCCTTGCACACACTTTCCCTCGTGAAGACTCCATCTTCTTCTTCTCTCTCAACTTCCACTCCAACTTTCAGATCCTCACTCATCACTTTTGAATTTATGAACTGATCTCCAAAATTAGGTAACAGTACCAGTTGAGCTTCACCGCATAATGCTTCTGTCATGGACCCAGATCCACAATGACTTAGAAAACAACCCACAGAAGGATGATTTAACATTAAAACCTGTTGAATCCAACCTCCATAAACAATCCCTCTTCCTTTTACTCTCTCATCAAACCCTTCAGGCAATGCTGACTCAATTGTTTCAGTTCCCATGGGAGGTTTTAGTGCAGCTAGAAAAGGCATACCTGTGAGTTCAAGACCTAAGAGAAGTTCCTGAAACTGGTCTTTCTTTAGAATGCATTCGCTTCCAAATGCACAGAAGATTACTGATCTTGGACTGAAACTTCCCAGCCATTTCACCCATCTTTCTTCCAAGGTTGAATTTGGTGGTGGATGGGGCAAAACTGGTCCTGCTAGAAAGATTGGCTTGTTGAATTGCCGTTCGAGGTAATCAATGTAGGGCCCTTCTATTTCCTTGCATGTTTTGAAAACAATGGCGTCACAGTCAGTGAAAGCGATCACATTTCTCTCTATGAACGAAACTCCATTATCCTCATCAGGTTCCTTCACAGAAACTTTGGCCAACATTCTAGCTGCATATAGTTGAACCGTAATGGCCGAAGGAGGAAAGCTAGGTGGAGGGGCCATGAAATCAGTTTCTGTGGCAGCATGCTCTTCCAGGACCTTCCTTTCAGGACTTAACAGATAACCAACAGACGCAGGGCTTATTGTGCAGAAATGAAAAGCCTTGGTTCTTAAGCGACGTGCCAACTGAGGCATCCAGTGCTGAAAGTCGAAGAAGATGAACTGGGGTTTGAGATCTCGCAGGGCAGCTTCAATGAAAGGCTCAGTGAGGTCCATTGCCTTCACGAGAAGGAACCGTAACGAAAATGGAACATCATGGGTGGTTTCAGACCCAGAAGGGAGGCCATTAACGTGGGGGACCTTGATGGGAATGAAGGAGATGAGATGTGGATGGAGATTGAGATGTTCCAGTTTGAGTGATGCATTTTTTGGTACGAAGAATGAGACCTTATGGCCTCTCTTTGCAAGCTTGTTCGCCATATGAAGGAACGCAGTAAGATGGCCAAGAGCAAACCATGGGTTCATTGCTATGTGAAGGGTTTGGTCCGCCATGGGTGATGAAAGAGACCAGGCTAGGCTCTGAGAGAGAGAGGGAGAGAGATAACACAGGCCTTCTTCTTCCAACAAAGAAGAATCCGTGAAGCTAGCTGCTTTATGATTTTGAGCCGTGCAAAAGCTCCTTCGTAGAGAAGTGTCAAAGTGGCAACGTTTGGCAATTTGCAGCCAATCAATAAATGATCAAATCAAAACAAAACACGCTAAAAAGCTAGATATAATGAGAAAAGATATGTTCAAAAATAATATTTTAAAAGTAAAATTAAACTTTCCTTTTATTTTATAATAAATCACTTTAATTATACAATTTTTAAAAAATTTTATTAATTTTTTTCCTTTAATTTTACAACACACACAACCATTTAAAATCTGTTTTGCCTGATAATGCTCCAAGTCTTGAGAAATTTCCAACGCGACGACGCCAAACCCCATGTTCCTCTAGGCCTCAACATCCAAATGACCAGTATACCGTCAAGCTATTAATTTGCTACACTCAAGTTTTAACCTCCACTTTGCCAATATTTAACTTGACACCGGCGGTGATGCATTTGACAGGTGGGGGGGAGGGGGTTCTGGCGCTGGCGATTGGCCAGCGGTGGCAGCTCAGGCAACCATAGGGGAGGGAATTGTTTTACTTTTTTAATTAAGGGCATTTTGGTGAATGTATATCAAAACTTATTTGCAATCACGATCATATGATACCACATTGATTTGATGATTTGATGATTTCAATTGTTATAAGGTGTTGTGTCAGAGTTGGAGTAAGTTTTCTTAATTTTTTCTTTTCAGTATTCATTTTCCATATCTTTAATATTAAAACATATGTTTAAACAAATAAAAATACATGTTGGGCGTTTATAATCTAAATGACATCAACCGCTCCTTTGAAACTTTTTTAAATGTAAAGTTGAGTTTGAACTTCCGTGAAGAGAATGAGCGGATGAATTATGAAAAATGAAAATGAATACGCCAGCGAGGTTATCACACTCACCCTGCCCTGGCCCATAATCCCTTCCTTATCGTTATCTCATTCTCGCACAAATCAAGTCAGTCAAAAGTGATGTCGGCAAGAAGGAGTCAGTCGACCATTAAAATGTTACTATCCCTTGATGTAGTGCAACAAGTAATTGACTAATTTAATTTAAGTAAATTAAAAAAATTAGTTAAATTAATTATTTATAATAAATAGTTTTTATTTTTAAAAAAATATTTTTTTTAACCAAGTGTATTAGTTTGAACTATCATTATTACAATGATTATCTTTGGAAAAAAATGAATAAAGATAAAAGACAAAATAGATTGAGGTCTTATATTTATGATTAAAATAAAAATTAAATAAACTCTTATATTAAATACCAGAAATAATACTAGCTTCGGGCCCTTTTTCTTTTTTTTGTTAATGAGAGACTAGCTTCGGTCTTTAATATAAGACTAGTTAGCTAATTTGGCTATGGAAGATTAAGAAAATTATTAAATTAACATAATTATAGACTATGTTATATGATCTTTTTAAAATACTTATATATATATCATTATATTATATACTAATGTATAGATAAGGTAACTTAGTTTAAAGAAAAACAATACAGATAAATATTTTAAAATAATTTAATAATTTGTTCAATATTTTCAAATTAGTCAAATGACCGGGTTTTCTATGGCAGACACGAGGTAGTAATTTTTAATTAACTAAATGGAAGAAAATGTGTATTAAATGTATAAATTATACTTTGAGTTTTGGCTCATTAAATTTGGTAGACCCCACTATGAAGGCACACTCACGTGAATCTCATAAATAATGAGTTCATTGCAATAAAGAAGTCACCAAATCAATCGGCGAGCACAGAGAAAAAGACATAATTGTAAACGTGTCTTCTTCGTGAATCGTATTGGATCAAAACAATTAAAAGTGTACGTGTTAAACGGGGACACGAATTAAATATATTGGGCCTCACAAACAATTAAGGAACCGGTAAACCCCCTTGGGTCGGAGCATGCCAATCACTGGTGCTATACCGGTCCCCTACATGTCCGGTGTAAAGAACACTTGTCATGTCACGCAAGACTTTTTGTACAACCACTCTAAGCTATTAATATACGGCCATTTGTTTTTAATTTAATCTTAAATACTCCTCCGGTCTTTATTATAAGACTCCATTTGACTTTTTATTTAGTCCTAATTATAAGACTCCAATCCATTTTGTCTCTTATATTTATGTATTTTTTTCCAAGATAATCCTTCTAATAATAATAGTTTTAGCCAATATACTTAATTAGCAAGGATATTTTAGGAATGACAACACTTATTTATTATAAATAACCAACTTAACTTACTTCCTTAATCTCCTTAAATAAGTCAATTGGGTCTTATAATTAGGATCGGAGGAGTATAAGATTTTAATATATTTTATTTTTTATATTTAGTTATTTTTTAACGTAGTTATTGTAATAGTTGTATATATTAAAAATTTCATCAAAAACAGTAGTTCTAACTAATACACTTGATTAATAAGGAGATCTTAGAAAAGACAACACATATTTATTATAAACAATTAACTTAACTAATTTTATTATGTTATATGCGTTATCTTTTTTTTTTTCTTGGTTAATTCAATTATATGATCCATGTTAGCTGACGTTTGTTTGGGTTATATTGTTTGACTAATATCAATATGTGATTGAAAGTTCATTTGCTCACTAAGCATTGTTATGAAGCGCGGAGCTTGATTTTTCTAGGACTATGATTTTAGAAATATCTTAATCTTGTTCACACTTAGGTTAAAGTGGTATCTTGAGCCACAAAAGAATTAGTGTTGATTAATTGACTCAAATAATTTGAATGAGCTAGGACGGCCAAGAGTATTGGAATGAGCTACAAATAATAGGAATAGCTGGGAACAATATATGTTCTAGCTTTTGTTTTTTTTCAACTTTGTTTTTTTGTTTGGCTGTTTTCCCCATCTTAAGAGGGTTTAGATAATTTTTCAAAGTGTTAATCGTATATGATGATTGCATTATGAGTCCCATATTAGGAAATTTTACAAGTATTATGGAGTTTATAAATTCAAAAGGTTCTTTATAAATTCAAAAGGTTCTTCCTCCTAATAGGCTAATCTTTTGGAATTAGACTATCTCTTTAGACTTATACTCATCACATTGGTACTTTCATCGAGAGTCAACCAACTGAAAAGGATTACTTACGAAGGGTTCTGATCGGTAATAAAACCTAGTAAAGTGCTATAGAGTGGAGCCACTGGGAACATTGACTCTTGAGGGGGGATGTTCTGTTATGAGTCTCACATTAAGAAATCTCACAAATGTTGTGGGATTTATAAATTCAAGGAGTTGTCCTTTTTAATAGGCTAGTTTTTTAAGATTGGATTCTCTCCTTCAGCTTATACTTAGCACTGATTATAATTTTGCCACGACGTCTACCTACAATAGACACCTTATTCTTTTTGTGAGCATCACAAATTGAATGCGTGATGCTAGATTTAGGGGATGTTTGGACGAAGCCAAACCATTGTTTGGAGAATAGCTTCTGGAGAATAGATTCTGGAGAGAATATATTTTTGAAAGACTAGATTTTCTGAAAAAGTGATTTTGATAAAGTGAGAGTGTTTGGATAGTTGTTGTCAGAAATGCTTTTTTATATGTAGAAATTACTAAAAAGGACATAAGTTTAAATGATAATTACATATAAGATATATTTCATAATATATGTTTATTTAAAGTAAATAAATAATATTAATAAAATATACCTTACGTATATATATTAATAAAATAAATAAATATTTTTTTTGCAAAATAATTTAATAAAGTAATTAAATATGTATATATATTAATAAATAATATATAGCAATAAAATAATTAAAATTAATACGTATATATATTAATAAAATAACTAAATATGTTTTTCGTAAAATAATTTGTCACTGGTGACAACAAATTTCAGAATGGGAGGAGGTGAAAGTACTGCAAATAATGGCAGAATGGGAGAAGAGAGAATTTTGTTTTCTACTGTTAAAGCCTCTTTGACATGAGCAATTATTATTTCAACAAACATATTTCTCCACAATCCACAATTTGCCAGCTTATACAAAAATCATGGTTTTCCAAATAAAAGGGGTGTTTGGCAAATTTTTTTTCAAACCATAGTTTGAGTCCCCAAACCATGATTTGGAAAAAAAACCCAAACACCCCCTTAGTAAGCTTAAAGAAGCTGAGGTCGGGGCAGGGAGCATGCAATGTCCCCAACCTCTTGGTTCAATTGTAATATAGAATGACCTTTTGGTTGTGATGGCAGAGAGAGAGACTCTTATTTAAATAAGCTGAGCATAAATAAACTGATTTCAAATTTGCAAACTGCATTTCATATGGGCGAGGTCCAAGAAGAAACCAAACTGAAATGCGAGATTAAAGAACTAACCGACAATACAAATTGCTGAGTCGAGAATAAAGGATGCAAATTTAAGGATAAAAAGCGCAAGTCACAAATTTTACTATATATTTATATACTTATTCGATTATAATTATGATTGATTGCAGAATTTTATATATATTACTTCATATCCTTAATATAAAATTTTATTTGATTTTTATTTTGATTTTAAATATAAGATCCAATCCACTTTATCTCTTATATTTATGTATATTTTTCTAAGATAATTTTTTAATGATAGTAGTTCTAGTCAATATATTTGATTAACAAGAATATTTTAAAAAAATAACATATATTTATTATAAATAAATAATTTAATTTATTTTTTTAATCTACTCAAACTAGTTGACGAGTTTTTATATTTAGGGTAGGAGGTACTATATAATATTGAATGATTTATGGCAAATTATAATATATTTTCAAAATTTTGGGTCTTTATTTTATGAATCAACTAGCTTTGTTACCCCGTGCGACGCGCGAAGAGATTATAATCAAGAAATTATGTTATCTTTTATTAAAATTAATCGAACAAACTCACTAGAATTAAAAAAAAAAAAAATCACACCTCTAATTTGGCATACAAACAAATATTAAAAAAATTTATTCACACGCGCGTGCATTGGGCGTTTCGGCTCCTCTATTCTTCTCACGCCCCTGGGCTAGTGCCTGCAAAGAACAGCCAGCGTCAACACAGGAAGCCCCTTTTTCGGGCAGAGACGGCCGGGAATTCCACAAGGTAAGATGATTGAGCTCGTCCTTTCGTCTTTTAATGTTATTGTCTTACAATCGATCTGTCTGCTATAACACTGAGTTGTGAGATTGTGTTTTAAGTTGGTGATTGTTTTGGAGAAAGATTATTCTTTAATCAGAAATAATGCTGCTTTCGATTTTCTCTTTCCGAGTTTTGTTTCAACATTTGGATTATCACCCGTGATTTATTTGTCTAACCATAGTCTTTTTTGCATCCGATGCTTGAACTTCCTGTTGATTAGGGTTTGATTCGATTTCCGTTTCCTATTTTGATAATTGGAGGAACAAATGGAAAATGAGATAACTTTGTTTGCAGAACTTTTTTTTTTCCCCCTCTTTGTTTGAAAACATAGCAAAGCTATTCTGAAATCTTGGTAGACTAGTTATCTGCTGATTTGCCTTCAAGAATTCAGGGAAATGATGCTGTTATGTGGGAAAGAGAGGGTGGGGGCAAGGGGACGTTTGGACTTCGCCCCTTTAGTCTATGTAGTCTCTTCCATAATCACTTGGGTTGATCTATCCAATTAGTTTGAGCTCAGATTCTCAAATGTTTTCATCACATTTATGGCGGGATTAATGGGTAATATGCAGACAATACCCCTTTTTTTGGCTGTCGGATAGTTTTGAAACAATGAGTTGGCCTTGAAAAGAGTAAAAAGAAAAAGAGCCCTTGGTCATGCCAGTATTTGCTCATGAGGCTTCTATTGCCCTGGGAGGTTTTTGTCTTGTATTAACTAAACTAGATTTTACCCTCCTGTGCGCTGCATGGGAAGCTTACAATTATATAAAATTATTTTCGTTACAAATTTAAATCTCATCAAAACATTAGAAATTGTGTGATATGTGTTTATTACATTACATCACTATCTATATTTTTTTAAAAAAATTCCTTATAAACAACATTTGATATTTGTTGATGTTCATTTAATATGGCTATCAGCTTACCTGGATTGACCTCACATCCATTTGCCTCTTAGAATGCGCATGTTCGTTTCCGTGATTCCAAAACATAGAGGGGTTACTTACATATAACGAAGCAGGTTGAATCCTAGATATCTAATATATAGGGGTTACTTATTCTGATGGTGTACTTTCTTTTCTTTTTTTTTTGAATAGAAAACTATTCAGAAAAGGAAGACAATACAACAAAACAGAATCCAAAATCCTTTTATCAACCTCCTCCTCTTGCTGAAGAAGAGGAAGTTGATCAAACGTGCACAAATTTTTTATCATCGTGTGTGAAGACTTGGCTAAAAAATCATTCATCCATTCAGGATTTGAATCTAAGAGAGAGATGAATAAGAATGTTAGGTTCAGACTTGGGACATTACTTACTGATAAGCCATGGTCTTGAAGCGAGTATCAACAATCTTACTGATCTCCTCATCTAACTTAATCTGAAGCTTCATAATATGCCCGCATGCTAGTGCACCGATATCAACACAGAGCCCAAGTGCACTGCTTGGGGGTTGATTTCTAAATTTTGAGTGAGAGAGAGAAACCGATGGGTAGAAAAGATATAAATGAAAAGAGAACGTTTGGGAGAAAAAATAGAAACAAACAGCAACTTTACATGAGAGATAAGGAATAAGAAGATAAAAAGGATCTCGATAAAAAAACGAAGGAGATATAGAGATGGTGGATACCCAAAGTTCCATTCTGCATAAAAATAAGATCTAATTTTGAATGAGAGAATTGATGGTATTGAAGAGATATAAATAAAAAGTGAAAGCGGAGCGAATTGGGGGGTTTGAAATTTGAAACGGATGACAAAAGCATAAATGAAGAGAGAGAGAAAGAGGAGGAAACGAGGGATTTTGAAATTCGAAATGTGTGATAAGGAGGGAATGAAGGATTTTGAATTATCTGCTTAGAGAGGGAAATATTGTGTTGGTGCATAGGCAGTACTTGTTGAGGAGCTATTGTTTAGCTTCAATGAATGGCTTGCACGCAGCCCATGGAAGGAAGATGAGTAAATTGGACAGCTTATGAATAGTATTTTAGGTGAGAAGCCAATATTAAGCTGCATATACTGATCGGCTAAGGTGGAAGAGTATTTAATGTTATATTGATGATGATGTGGGCGTCCTGTGTTGCATGGAATTTGAAAATTAATACACACTGAATTGTACAACTCGGTATGGATTTTATATTATATTTTGACATATTCATTTATCTTGAAATTTTGATCCTAGAGGACCATCATTAGGATCGTCCATGTATAGAGTGAGAAGTAGCTTTTTGTCAAAATAAAATAAAAATTGGCAAAGAAGCATGAAAGTTTGATGAGTGTGTTATATCTTTAATGGCCATGTTGATTGTTTACATCGGTCACCGAACCTTTGTTATTGTCATCAAGTTTGTAGATTGCTAAGAGGTTTTGATTTAAACTTCTGATACATATATATGAAATGCAGGATTTGAGCTATGGGAAAGAGGAAATCAAGAGCAAAGCCACCTCCAAAGAAGCGAATGGATAAGCTTGACACTGTCTTCAGCTGCCCCTTCTGCAATCATGGCTCTGGCGTTGAATGCCGCATGTAAGCTTTTTTTTTTTAAACTATTTGTTACGGGCTGTGCAAGATTTTCCCCCCAAAGATATTTGTCTCTGAGCTTCTCTGGCTTTTCTTGTTAAAGATGGGGATGAATATTCACTTATATACTCATGTTTGGCATACATTGACAGAGATATGAAGAACCTCATAGGGGAAGCTTCTTGCAGGATATGCCAAGAGAGCTTTAGTACTACCATCACAGGTATGTTTCACGCCCTTATTTGACATTTGTACTCTTTAGCAACCAAGACATTGATTTTATTGATATATTTAATAACTAATTCCTAGGTATGTGTAGGACTGGCCTTGATTTTCTACCTTCATGGCTGGCCCTGTTTATAGGAAATAATGGCTAAATCGAATCAAGGAGGGCTTTAGAAATACATAAGAAACCCACTTGATATTGGAACATGCTTAGATTTTCCTTATGAATCTGTTTACCTTTTTGGAAGTGATCGGTTATTCTCCCAAGTTGTACTTGTATCCATGAAGTCCTGTTTGTGTTAGGCACCAAGAGAAGGAAGAGATTTCCTTTCCTTCCTTGTTTTACAATGTTTATTTGGTCCCCAGACTAGCCCTAATGAGTCCCCCGACATTTTTTCGAGAATAATATGTTACCGAATGATTCAAATTGGAACTATGATAGGCTCTAAATGGGTGGAAACGGGAAAATACGTTGTGTGATTTTCTCCATTCGCAAAAATAAAATCCAAGACTTTGCTTGAGGGGTATCAAGTGCCTGCCACTCGACTTAACCGCTGCTACTAGTGACATGACATTTTGAAAATGGGTGCATATTAAAATTTCCCTCCTCTATCTTTGTGAAACACAACACAATTTTGTGGCGGTGGGGATGATTAACTCAATACTTCATATACTTAGACTCTTACATCTGCTGAGATCGTATGCATTGCTGATAGAGTTATTAACCAGTTTTGCTTTTGTATTCACAGCTTTATCGGAGCCAATAGACGTGTAAGTTCCATCAATTTGTGGAAACCCTCCTTTTCTCACGCACACATGCACGTACGTGCATCGACACCCACAACTTACAACTTAAGAGTCTGATTTGCAATAATGCAGATACAGTGAATGGATTGACGAATGCGAACGGGTCAACAACCTGGAAGATGATGGGGCTTAACTTGGATGCTGACTAACCACTGTGTTTGGTGGAAGTGGATGGAGGGACTGTCCATCTTTATCTTTTGTTCTGCCTGTATGTAAGTAAATTACTAATTATGCCTGTTCCTGTTTTAAGCATTTGTGCAGGCACAAGTTTGGTTCCTGTGTCAGACTGCCATATACCTCGTGTAATAGAATGTGCAAGAACGTGACTGAGAATAATTCAGCTTGCTGCCTGTTTAGATGAAGCCCCCTTCACATGCTCATATTGAAGCCTTGAAATAAAATTGCAGTGTATTTATGTAAACAGAGGTTATTGGGTCCGCGGAATTTAAAATGAAACAGAATGAGAAAGTATAATAAAAGACGATGTCTGTTGAAGTGAAGATAGAAAATATTTTTGTGCTCTTATTTAAATTATAAAAATCAATCAACACTAGATCCAAGAGTATACGAGTTATTATAAATACTCATCTGGTTTTTAATATAAGACTTATTTAACTAATTTGATTAGATTAAGTAAGTTAGGTAAGTTAATTAATTATAAGAAATATGATATGTTTTTTTTAAAATACTATAATCATCTTTTTTAATATCTTTTTTTCTTTTTTTATTTTATTATAGTTAAAAAAGTATTTATAGAGATAATTTAAGAAAAATTGATAAATATTAGAAATAGATATTATATTTAGAATTAAAATTAACTTAACAATTAGATCATATATTAAGGACCAGAAGAGTATTAGAAAAGATCCACAAGAATGTCGCCACGTGAAGCCTTGCCGAATTTAAAGCTTTTGATTTTTAGGCCTCATCATAGAGCATTTTAGGTGTAGCGTGAAATTATAAAGGTTTGAGGGTTCATGAATTTACATCAATCATCAACGTTAATTAACTGTGTTTAATTGGATTTTGATTTTATTCCCTGCACTTTCATAAGGACTTGGTTTAAATTTAGTGACATTAACTTTTAGTTAAAATTATTAAGCATAAAGACCACAACCAAAACTCATCAAAACTACATGATCAAAACCAACAGGAATTGAAAGAGTTTTGGTTTTGATGAAAACCAAATTATAATTTTAAAAATAATTTTATAATATATGAAGTAAATAAGTAAAAGAGTTTGTCTTAATTTACAAAAAAAAAAACTTTTAAAAAACACTTCTAAAGATATCCAAACACCTTCGTTAAATAACTAATGTGGTTAACTCAAATCAAGTTCTTAAATTATAAGAACTGAAAACCACAATTTGAAACTAAATGAATCAAAATCAAAATTCAATCAAACTAAAAGAATAAATAATGATATTAATTTGCACCAAAAGAAGATAATGATATTAATTCAATATAAAATTCTAACAAGACTAAAAAGATATTTTATAGAACTAAAGAACCAAAATAAAACTGTGTGAAATCAAAAAGCCTAGAAGTCGATATGATGTATTGTATGAAACATTCATCGTTATCATGGTATCCGTTGCTAACTTGTTTGGCTGAGAGGTTAAACGTCCGTAAGTTACTTTTTTTTTTTTTTTTTTTTTTTGTAACTAAAAGCAAGTTTGAAAAATTTATGGTGTTTGGATTGGAGGGAGCAACCTGATTTTTGCATAAAAAGCTACAATAAACTATAAGTAAAAATTAGCTACTTATGACTTATGGCATATGACTTTTGAAACATGGAGAGAGAGAGAGAATTAAAAAATTTATTGTTTCTTGTGATTCTTGTTACAAATTTCAAATAACTAATTTACAGAAAACAAAAAATTAGTTGAAATTAGTTGAAAGTAATAAATAAACTAGAAACATACTTTTATTTTTAAATATACCCCTATAATAATTGATAAAAAATAAAAAAATATATATGAGATCAGTTAGAGCTTAAAAATAATTTAAAATTATTATATTATGAAATTGATAATTTTTTATTTTTATTATTTAATAAAATTTATACTCATTTTGGTAATTTTATAAATTAAAATTACTTATTCAATTATAATCCAAACAACTTACTTTCACAAATTAACTTATTTACAAAAATCAATCCAAACATAAATCATATTACTCACTTTTACCCAATCTATTAAAAGTCAAATTAAAAATAAGTTATTTTTCTGACCATCAATCCAAACAAGCATATCTTCACAAGGTCATTATAATGAAGAAAACGCTAGGCCGCTAGCATTGGGACCACGACTCTCAAATATTTCCTTACACAAAACATACACCTATAAGTTCGTTTGTTATATTAAATAATTTTAGTTGTCCAGAATCTAAAATCTTTTATTATTATACAACAATGACTTCAAAAAAAAAAAAAGTAAGAAAAAATATAAAATCACGCATAGATTTCTCTGCCTAATTTTACAGATGACGAACAATGAAACAGGAAACTTGCCAAGACAGATGATCTTATAACACAAGGTAGACCGCATCAAATGCATAAATTCTAACTTTCAAAGTTAGATTCCCTTCTTGAGCCATAAAAATTACTCAAAAAGGACTGAAACGATTATTACATAGCCAATAATATGTACCATCCATCCCCTTGAAAGTTTGTCCTGAAGCTAATAGCTTCAAAAGGGCAGTATAGGTGACTTACATTAGCATAATCTGGATAACAGAGTAATTGCTGTATCATAGTAACCCTGCCTTAACACTACAAGTCATTTTGGTGGTGCTGATTCAATTCCATCCAGCATTCACCAATTTGCTAATTATAATAATGGCATACATCAATTTTTTGCTGTGATGAGATCATCTTCAAGAGTTAGAATCCACCATCCAGCAGTCTATAACGCAGCAGTCCAGCGAGAGAATCAGCTATTCACAATATCTGATAAGGCAAAAAAATGACCTTGGCTTCTTGTTGCTAAAGAAGAAAAAGCAAAACGATCAAATGAGAGTTGAGGGGCAAAGCGACGCGTTATTTAATTTTAAACCAAGCTGAATGCAGCATGTTGTACATCCTTCCATGACTAATCACGTCACGTAATAGTCACCAGCATTCTCGATTAGATAATCGTATGGTGCAGCCAAACCATATTCATATGTTCCGTGTCCTGGAGTCACTCTGTTAGATGCTGGATAGACACCACCCATGCCAATCTTGGCATTCAGTTTAGCCCTGCTTTTCACAGACTGTTTGTTATCAGGAGGGAACTCAGCAGAGAGCCTCCCCATCTGCTTCTGCAAATCAGCGACTGAGTCATTAGTTACTTTTGCCTTGGAGTTCTTCTTCCCATCAACAAGCTTTAATTCCAGCCGATACAAAGCACATGCATCACACTTGCTAATCTCATACTCATAAAGATGCCACTCAAAATGGTTCAATGGTTGTGGATCCATATAATAGGACCGCTTCAGCCCTCCAAATTCATTCATCACTTGCTTCCTAGATTCATGCCAACCACGCCCACTATAATCTGGAAGAGACCTCTGCTTTCTGTTTCCACTCTCAAACGCTCTCCTAGGCTTATCAAAGAAAAGCCATTCCCTGATAGTCTCACCTTCGAGAACAGAAAGATCGAACAACTCTGCAGTTCAATAAGACATTGATTATATAAATGAACAATCTTGTCCGTCTTTTTTATTTCGCCTGAATGTCAACCTCCCTATTAGTGACTTTTCAAAATAAAGCAAAAACCAGAGAAATAACAAAGCATGACTATATTACCAGGTGCATTCCATGGAGACTTTGCAGTTGCTGCTCCCTCACATTCAGGGATGCCAACATCTTTTCCCAGTGCCTTTGCACTAAGAGCAGCAAAGAGTAAGTTGTCCTTCAAACCAATGCCCCCTGGTCGTAGAACCGGGGCCATTCCTGGTGGCCCTTCATTCAATGCTAGAGTGGCATGAAAGCTACTGCAATAGTCTTGACACCAGTCCAGCCCTTGCGCAGGCCTTGGACAGTCCCAAAGCGCACATTTTGGGCCTAGGAAAGCAGAAGGAGGAGGGCAGATGCTAGGGAGATAATTAGATATATGGGAAATGGCATTCTCCTCACAAAACGTGGACCCATAAAAACCAGTATACAAACTGTCATTGAAGTCTTGGTGAAAGTCAAACTGATGGTATTCTAGAGCAGTTCCATCTATATCAGTAGCTGCAACATCACGAGCTCCAGAGGTGAATTTGGTGTCATCAACCAATGGGAAATCATGTTGCTTTTGGCCCTGGTTTACAATTAAACCAATAATTTTAGTACAATTATAGGCTAATGGTAGAAATAATGAACTAAACTGTGGTGCATATGAACAGAAATGGACTTATAGGAAATGTTACTGAAAAGAAAACAAGCGTACATTCTAAGCACACACAAACGGATTGACAATGTCATTCAAACGATGAAAGAAAAGAAACGACATTAGCCTACCCATGTTGACATCAGAAGACATTATTCAATTATGAGGAATAATGTCATCTGACATATATGGTACCTCCCAAATAGGGCAACCATAAATCATTTAGCCACCTTTTAACATCAAATATTCAAACGTCTTGTTCCATAAATGATCCCAAAATGTTATCCAAATACATAGAAATGCTATGTTCTAAACCCCAGCCCTAGGGGATGATTTCACAGCAAAGTCAGGATTCTTGATGCATTCATTTGATTGAGCTCGATGCATTCATTTGATATATCTTATATTTTTACGTGTTTTATAGCCCTTTTAATAAAGAATTTCAAAACATCTGCAAAGTGGAATGCACTGCATTTTGCAGCAGGACAAAATCATTTCAACCTGTATTAACCCATTTTATGAATACTTGAAACAACTTAGCCAAACACGGAAGCAGGGGTATTTGATACCGATAAATAAGCCTTGCTAAAAAAAAGAATACAGATAAATCAGCAAAAATTAAGAACCTACATTGAAGATCGAGATTGGACAGCTGAACCAGTAATGAAGCCGGTGACAGTGCAAACCAATAGCAGTTTGCAGGACCCGGAAAATTATTTATATTACTATTTTTATACATGGTTTTTGGAGCACTTTAATTTGGTGCTATTCTTATATCCCGCATTTTTATTCAAAAAGGCAAGAAGTTTCTCAATCTTCCTATCCTTCAAATTTGTGTTTTTCCCTCACCCCCTTTGCTGTTGATGCCATGCCGCATCACCATTGAAGTAGTCTCCCCTGCTGATTCTTCAGCCATCCATAACAAAAGAACAAAACTTGGATCCTGTTCTATAGATGTTTTCCATAAGATTCTCATGATTTGCCATCATATCTTCTGCTTTGATACAATTCACAATTCAGAAATAAAATTCTCATTCGTGAATCATATCATTAATTTAGA